CAGGACTACTGGACCACCACCGTCGCCGAGCAGGACGACGATGAAGAAGGCGGCGTCAGCACCACCACGCCGGGCCTGGTGCGCCTGGAGGTGGGACCCATGTGGGGCGCCAGCAGCATCCACGTCACTGGAGCCCTCGGTACCCCACACGACAATGCGCACTTGCAATCTCGCCTTTCTTGTTGTTGATTGTTGGTGCTGATGAAGGTGATGTGTGTTGTTGTGCAGCTCGGGCCAAGGCGGCGATGGTGGCCCATTTCAACGCCCAGGGCTGGGTGGTCGACAACGCAGCTGGGGCACCACGGCGCACATCAACCTGAAGGGCAGCCCTGCGTCAATCCTCAACTCCCACGTCGACCTCTTCAACGGCTGGGTCCTCCTCTGATGACTTAGGAGATCCGCCAATGACCTGACACCACCACCTTCTACTTGCAAGGCGCTGAAGTGCTCAGCCCCCCCCCCTCCCACCCAATCCCCAACCCAATGTCCTTGTGACGCGTCACGCAACGAACAAAGTCCGTCACTTAATAGTCTTACATGCCACGTCAGCAAGTTGCTTTTGTGTTCGCGTGGCAACGGGGACGAACAAACAACACACAACACAACACAGGAGGGAGAGGGATGAGCTTCATGGGAGCGCTATCGGTGGCGGGCCTGCTCAAGAACTTCTTCGGCCCGCTGCTTCTCCCTATCGGTGGTGCGGTGGCCGGACTCGTGGTGACCCTCTTGCTGAGCCCCGCCTCGAGTAGCAGGTTCGGCACGCCCAGCACGGACACTATCCAGACCATCCGCGTGAGCGTGCCGCTGGGCTTCCTCCTCGGCGCCGCGGCTTCGGCGTTCTTCTTCGGCTGGATGAGCCTGGGCGTGCCTGCTGTGGTGGCGCTCGCTTTCGGCCTCAAGGTCTTCATCGCGAAGCGAAGGAGGAAGAGGGAAGGTCAGTAACGAAACACATTTCCGAAATAATTTGGGTTTGATGTAAAAATGAAAAAAATTAAAACGAAGAAAAGAAAAACCGTGTCGCATAGCGGCCACAAGCAGGGGGCGGGGACAAAGATGATGGGGGAGACGGCTACGACCTCGCGTACCATCGATGATGAGCTGCTGTGGTACTGCTCGTACGGCAGCAACCTGTCCCGCTCGCGCTTCATGACCTACATCTCCGGCGGTACCCCCCCCCCACCATATATTCTCTCAGCTCTACTTCTGTCTGCACACGCCCAGCTTTGCTAATGCCCTGGCGCGCGTGCAGGGCGAGCGGCGGGGTCGAAGGTGGTCCACGAGGGATGCCGCGACATAACGCCACCACTGGACGACCGCCCGTTCCTCCTGCCCTACGCGCTCTCGTTCCCGCTCTGGTCCAACT